CACCCCCGCCCTGCGGGGCCAGCAGCCCGGCTGCCGGCCTCACCCACTCTCCCCTCCCAAGGAACACCATGGAGGCCATGCCAGCCTGTCTCCTCAAAGACGTGTACCAGGAGGCACTGAACTCCACAGTCATCGGCATCGATGAGGGCCAGTTCGTAAGTGCCAGGGCAGGTCCTGGGGAGCTCTGCAGGATGGGAGCTCCCCCGTGCAGCCCAAGGTCTGAATCCTGGGGGGATGGGGGTGGGGAGAAGGACTACTCTGGGGCTGTTTGATCCCCCTGAACTGTGCTTCTACAGTCAAACCTTGTCCTCAACTCCTGCAGGCTGAGGACAGTGGGGCCAGAGCCCATTTTATGGGTAGGCAGCATGGCTCCAGTATTCTTTGTGCCCTGTGCTGCTGGATCCTGAGTAAAGTGCTGCCCCTTCTTCCTCCTGACTCTGTTTCGGTACCTCCTCTAGTTCCCAGACATCGTGGAGTTCTGTGAGATGATGGCCAACACCGGGAAAACCATCATCGTTGCTGCTCTTGATGGCACTTTCCAGAGAAAGGTAAAACATTTGTTCTAGGACAGCACCTGCTTTGAGCCCCCCCTAGAACCCATCCAACAGAACCATCCTGCTATCTTGCCACAGGCCTTCGGAAGCATCCTGAACCTGGTGCCACTGGCGGAGAGCGTGGTGAAGCTGAACGCTGTGTGCATGGAGTGCTACCGAGAGGCCTCCTACACGAAGAGGCTGGGAGCAGAGAGGGAGGTGAGTTCTATGGAGCCAGGCTGAAAGAGCTGGGCTTGTCCAGCCTGGAGAAGAGAAGGCTTCTTAAGGGGAGACCTTAGAGTAGCCAGTGCCTAAAGGGGCTCCAGGAAACCTGGAGAGGGGCTTTGGACAAGGGCCTGTAGGGACAGGACAAGGGGAATGGCTTGAACCTGCCAGAGGGGAGACTGAGATGATCTCTGAGGCAGAAGCTCTTCTCTGTGAGGATGCTGAGGTGCTGGCACAGGTTGCCCAGAGAAGCTGTGGCTGGCCCCTCCCCTGCAGGGTTTCAACGCCGGGTG